TTTGTGTATTATTATTATTATTATCATATTATTATTATTATCATTTTATTTCAATTATTAAACTGTTTTTATCTCAACCCACGAGTTTTCCTAACTTGTGCTCTTCCAATTCTCTCCCCCATCCCACCGGGTGGGGGGGAGTGAGCGAGCAGCTGCGTGGTGCTTAGTTGCCAACTGAAATTAAACCACGACACATTAGTACACAAAATTCTGCTCTGAGATCAAAATGATGCAACAAATTAATAAACTGGATATTTTTTCATTCATTAACAAAGCAATTACTACTCTGACAGCCAGACTTCTAGTTTGGCTCAAGCATGGGAGCAAAATCAGCTTACAGTCTGAACACGTAAAACAAAAGGAATACTATTTCGCCACTCGATAGTTAATTCCTACAACTTCTGCTTTATTACACTGGTGTAGTTTCTCTCTACTACATGCATCTTATCTCAGTTAATGCAGAAGCATTTAAAGCAACCGTCAAGGACACGCTGACCTCAGCAATGGAGCTTCCTCATGCTGAAACGAGAGACAAAGTCACCTTAAGTACAGAGATTCTAGATTCCTTCTGAACTTGGAGCACAGAAGCCAGATCAGAACCCAGAACCCATTCCATCCGTTCAACAAAGTATGGCTTTTCCAGAGATGTGCAGCCTCATCCCAGCCTGTTAAGTACAAGGGTATTTTAAATAGCAGGTTACCCAAACATAATGTGGGTAACAGGCTTGCCAGCTACTTGCATGATAGAACAAAAGTAAAAATACTTAGCCTCTGTCTGTAACAGTGTAAGAATATATCTTGCAAGTTACATGGGGTGGGGGTCTAGATACTGCAACAGAGTATGCTGACAAGAGTAAAGGTCCAGAGGAAGGACAGAATACTTGTGGTGTACCAGTCTCTTATGCTAGTCTCAAGCAAGAACATATCTGTGTCAAGAGGCACTACTGTCAGCCTTGCTTCTTACAGTCAGACCTTCCCCTGGTTACAGCAATGCAGCCAGTCCAACAGCTGCATCGTCAGCCAGGTAGTTAACCCAGGGCACCAGTACTCCCCATAATTATTTAGCAAGGGACTCCATCTTAAGTTCACGGTCACACATTTGTCTAAATCCAAACTATTTAAAAACATTTTTAGAAGTCAGAGCTACATAAAAAGAAACAGGGTTCAACTGAATTATCTCCACTTAAACCAAGAATAAAATGCATTATGAAGGTCTGTTTATTTTTATACAGCCCTTCTGCAAGGAAGAACCATGCAGCACAAAGCCCATGTAGAACAACTGCAGCAGAAAGATACACAGCTATCACCTCCTCACACTCTCAAGGCCTCAAGCAGTTATACAACAAGTTGTCCAAACTCAGCTTCCAAATTGTGACATTTATGTCTAGTTTTCATTCAGGCTACATCAAGTTATTGTCTTCAGTTAAGTAAGATTTTTCACCTAAAATCCATACAAATTCAGTAATACAGTTGCCATGCTTATGGGAAGGTTTAGTCATCTTTCACTCAAGCTACTGAATGAGCACACTGCTATTTATTCAAAACTATTTAAACTGTGCTTAAAGGATGCTATCCAAGGTACAAAGGCTAAAGTTATTGGACTACTTTGCTGAAAGCACCTCTATTCTCTGATCATTGCCTGATTCGTGGTTCTACACAGCCAGAGGTTCCTATGATCATTTCTCCCCCGCATCATGATTAACCAGAGAAGAATTTACTGTGCACATACTTTTAACTATTTTTGTACTTAAGCCACAAAATACCTCGCAAAACTGAGGAACAGAACTGAACAGTGTTTTATGAACTGTGCCATCAGCAGCTCTTTAACCTATGATTACTCAGTGATACAACACAGCTACCAAACTACCTATATTAACCAGAATAGCATTCTCTGACAGAATTCAGTTCACTTAGAGCTTCATTACTGCCAAGTTTTCTTGAAGTTATTAATATGGCTTATACTGCTGCTCTTATAAAGACATTCAGAAAAGAACAGTGAAGACTAGCTCTATCATGTGTTAGGCAGCCTTTTACTACACATGGTATTAGCAACCTTCTGAATACACATTCATAGACTCTTCACAGGGCAAGACTCAGGATGACTGACATTGACAAAATACTGAATTGTGTGTCAGTGTTCATTCTGTGATCCCCACATAGGATTTATCACACTTTACCAGTAAGTGCACTCAGAAGGCATAATTATTATTATTAGCATTAATTTTAAAGGCTGCATTGATTGCTGTGGTACCCAAACAATTCACAGATTTGCTTCTTTCACACTCACAAGTTTACAGAAGTAGGCAGGTTAGTGGGTGCGGATGGACCCAAATGGAGTTTAACCTGTGTTACTCAAAACATGTAAGCCATCATTTTTTCTAGAATGCTTAGCCTTCATGTGGAATAGAAGTTTGAATCTAGCTTCCCCATTTCAGCTCGTAGATTAAAGCTTTTCACATCAGGTGCAAACATAAGTACTTGGCCTAGTAAGCAGCAAGTGAGATACTAACTGTTCCTATCTAAAGAGGATTACTTAATAGGATTTGACTATAGCCAAACAGTAAGAACTAGACTATATCCCTGCAAGTCAGTACTTAAACAGCCTTAATAACCATTATGAACTTTTCTGCAATTCCTTATTGCATTCCTTTACAACAGCATGTTTAACTCTAGCAGTGAGGTGAGCAGGTCTGACAGAACCTCCTTCATGCTTCAAGCACACTGGAACATACAGTAGGCAGCAAGTTCTACAGTTCTACAGGAGCTTCGACAACTTTTTTTATGCTTTTTGAAGTTTTCAGACCTTCATTGCAAACTGAAGACTTAGTCTCATGAAAGCTTCCAGTTTCATTAGTAAAAAATTGATTAGGTTTTGCAAACAAACTAAAAGCTTGCCCATCAACCAAATCAAGATAAAAAAGGTGGTGTAGCCTGAAGTTGCTGAAAGAACTAGATTTCTGTGTTAGTGTGACTGCAGCAAGGTTTCCAGCTACGCATTAATCTCTAGTTGTTCTTGATGACAGAAGGGCATAGGTGGAGTAACTGTTAATGTATCTATAGGGAAAGTGACATGCTGCTTTCTAGAAAAACCTGTCCCATCTAAACAATTAAGTAAAGAATTTAAATGCTGAAATGAATTTCAGCAACAGCTGATAACCAATAATGCTGGTATTTGACAGCAAGTAGTCTTACAAATGTGGACCAAGAGAAAACAAGCAGTCTTTGTGGCTGTATCTTACAGATTAATCAACTCAGTGAAATTAGTTGAAAGATAAAGTAACATGAAACTTCAACTAACTTCTTAAGTGTACAGAAACTTCTTAAACAGTTTTTAATTAAACTCAGTCTCTTTATCTGAAAGATATACTTAATTTGTCTAGTATAGATCTTGCTTGGAGGTTAAACTGCTTTATTTGAAAGTTGCAATTTTATGCTTAAATTTACTAGGCAATAAGATGATCCACTTTGATCATACAGCTGGAACTAAGAAAAATGGCTGTTACTCTTGTACGCAGGTTTCTAGTAGACCCTTGAACTATGTGCTAGTTGCTCAGTGTGCATGCATACTTAGTACATGAAGGCAATATCTACTGGTCATTGTCTGGAAAATGGACACAAGTTTTAGACTTGGATTGGGTGATGGAGAATAGTCTGTAGGACAGACTATGCAAAGCCTGCTACTTCTGGCAAAAATCAGACCAACATCAGTGTTAGATGGAAACTTTGCAATGAAAAACAATGTGACAGTATAGAGAGGTGACTAAATGAAGTTCCTTTTTATATTTACCGTAGAAAAATAGCCATTAAAATTTCCTCAGTTACCCTACGACTGAAGTTACCAATTTGGATAAAGTATGCTGAAATTTTTAAGAGAAAAATGTTAGCACAGAGGCATGTGATGGCTTCTCATTTAGAAAAATTTCTTAACTTTTGAGTGTCTTGCACTATGGTCAACTTTTCCCTTCTAAGCTGTTGTTGACACTCAAGTTTTTGCAGGTCTTCATATGCCTTTAAGAGACATACCACTTAAAAAGTAGCAACAGATACCTATGAAGTTCAGGAAAGTTATTTCAGGCTTTGTTAATGCACTGAGTATTCCAAATAGATACGCTAGTCTAAGTCAGAATAGATAATTAAGGTGAATGGGTTTAATCCGAATACAGCAAATTCTAAAGCCACATATAACCTCCACACCGCAATGCCTTATCTAGCTACACACACAGCCCCCTATCTATTTAAACAGAATGTTTCCCCCAGCCACTATTGGTAGAACTCCATTCAAAAGCATCTCAACTACTCCTCAGAATCTTTAAAATTTGAAGCCACATACACAACTTGAATACAGTTACAACATGAATTTTACCATGTGTTGTTTAAAAGTAAATTACTGCCTCTTGGAACACATGAGGATAGAATTAATCACTGCATATCTCTTGTTTCATATGAATAATTTGTATTGCTGTTGCCTATGGGAGTGGTCAAGATGTATGGCTTCATCAACTACACATTTTTATCTTAATTCTGCTAGAAGACAGCCTAACCCATTACTTCCTAAAGGGGTTGGGGGGGGGGGGGGGGGAGGGAGCGGGTCAGGGCAGAGGGAGGGAAGAGAATTTTAAACAGATTTGTTTTACTAAAAATAGTTACATCCACACATTTCTTCAAACTAGTTCATGGCCTTCTGGAAGAAAACAAGGCTGAGTAGTCATACGGTTAAGAGGCAAAGTATTAGAAAAAGTTTGTGAACAGTAGCTCAATTCTTTGATATAGGAGGGAGTTTTCTTCTATTATGGCCAAGAATCACAGAACTGTCAGGAAGTTCTGTAGTTAGAAGAACATTTTCAATAGTTATTCTAACAGCCTGCTCTAGCATTTTGCTTGCATCAGCAGTTGACAAAAAAGTCTCAACATGTAAAAACAAAACAAAAACCCATAGAAGAATGTCATATGAGGAAATATGTATAGTTTAGTATGATCAAGTCGCTTACCTTTGAATTTTGACCGAATGTTTGCTAGTTCTTTATTTATCCTCTTTATCTCCGCTTCTTTACTTTTGCCTGAAATCAAAAGAACACACATGAGGATACAGTGCTTTGGACCACCCTCTGCCACCCTAAGCTTCTTTCCACTCAACCGTGCTGTATGAACATACAAACATCAGGAGAAATTATTACTCTCCCTTTCCAGTACTAGGACTGATGAAGGCAAACATCACAGAGGTAACTTAAGCACTGCTTTATATGGGAATTTGAGAAGCTAAAAGGAACTCCCTGTTTCAAGAAGCTTTGCAGACTTTAATTGTATGCGACTGATACCATCTAATCTGAGATGCCTTTATTGCTGACTTTCACAAATGCTTCAGTTTTTCTGTTCCTTAAACTGGCAAGAGAAAACTGAATTTTACTTCCCATTTTATTACTAGGTTGACAGTGCTCTGAAGGAAAGAGTGTCCTAAGCACAATCTTATAAAACAAACAGCTTGTGTTATTCCTCACCTTAAGTATGAGCCTGCTTCTCTACTGAAAGGTCATTCAGTTCAACAGCTTTAAAAACATTCTTAACAGACACTGAAGAGGAAAAGCAGTAAACTTGTAAGTTGCCCAAAGACCTCAGACAGATAGGATACGTGTGTAAGTTCAGACTTTAAATATGCCCCATGAAAGTCTCTTGAAAAAAGAGAAATATTTAAAATTCAGATTTTATTAGGTGACTTCACCACCTTGGGCTTCTCAGCACAGTTTATATTTCATATCAACTTTTGATTCCAAGAATAGGTATTAGGATTTCTAGTGCCAATTCAAGTTAGATTTTCAGAGAAATAAGGTGCAGTTTAAATTCTGATAATGCAAGCTTGATAATTCAAGTGGTACTTGCATTGTCCAAACCAAAGCTGCTTATTACTCTTTAGCATTTTAGTTTTTGGTGATTGAGATTCTATAGAGATCTGGATCCATTATCTCCTACATGAGTGAGCGTGGTAGGGTAAAATATCCAACTCGGGCATTATATTCAGTTGCTTGAAGTTTGAGAGAAGCAAACGAAGTCGACTTCAGCAATGCAGAACTGGCCATCTAGTTGTGTTGGAAATTCAGACCTGTACCTACTCAAACTTTCAAGCAGTTTCCAAAACATCAACTAGCAGCAGAAAAAGACAGCTTCCTTTACTCTTCATCATGTATATTTAGCTACAAGGTTATGAATAAAAGTTTCCTGGCCCTGCTTGAAAATGGTCCAACCGTATGACTAGTGGGGATCAGATGCCCTGCTTTCACACTCCACTTTCCCCAACACCACTCCCATCATGACTACAGCTATGTCAGTGCAAGGATGGTACGTGACAAGGCTTGAAGAGCAGATCAGGACCAGCATTCTGAAGCACCTCCGATCTCACCCCTTTCTTCCACATAAGCAAAGCAACAACTCACAGCATTTAAACATCCTACTACATTTGTATGTCCAAGCCTCCTGTGTCACCCAGTGACTGTTAATCACTCCTTTACCATTCCAAAGATGATCTGACAGCAGGCCAGATGAAAGGTGATTAACTCAAGGAAACAAGTGCCTCAGGATAGATTAATAGCAAAGTGTTTAAAGTATAAGGGAATCCCACGCCAAATACAAATTAATCCAAATTTTGTAATTTCTTGATTTAGACTCAAAAAAAGAAACTGAAGGCATGCACTTCCAAAACCAACTCTTGCATAAGATGCAGAAAACTGGTTTATATTAATATGCCTATAATAATGGCCACAAGAGTAAAGACACATAGCAAGACTAGCACACTGTACAAATGGAAACAAGTTAGGCCCAAAATAGAAGCAACTACTTTGGTTTGCCTTGTCCTTTTAACAAAATGCCTACAGATTTGCTTAAAATGGAATTTTTCCATTCTACAACACTGTTTTATAACGGGCAGTGCTCAAAAGACTGAAGTGCAGGGTGCCTTGGCAGGCACTCCACATGGCAAAAAACCACCCAACTTCCACCATACCCAACCCTGAAAAACTACTTGTACCTACTCATCCACTTACTGCTTTTAAGAAATTAAGCATTTTCAGTGGTCAAGAATTCACGATACCTGTTCTGAAACATAAATTGTAGTTGCTATCTGTACGCATCTTGGTTTTCAGATAAAGCAGGAGGTATGTCCACAGTTTTAATTTGACCTAGAAACTCCAGTTAGCTTCTGGAACGACAAGGCTAGAAATCAGAGAGTACTTCCTTCAGTTTAAGATGCATCTGTTGGGATCACAAGATTTAACCAGTTTTCACTAATATATCATGCAACATGTTGTAAGTTTTCTTCTAATTTAACTTACCAACCTAAAGTAAGCTGGTTTTAAAGCAGTAACACTATTTACTGTATAAATAAGCAGCAGCTCGTAAAATCTAAGGCTTGAGTGTCTTCTATTACAGATTTTAGATTTGTCTTAATTGGATTAGATTATTTGTCCTGTGCACATGGCAGAGATACTCAAGTGTTCATGTCTAAGTTACTTGCCAGCATTAGGAATTCACTACTAGACTGAAGCAAGTCTTTTGCTCCTGGGTCCATACTCTACAAACAGAGGGCCACAGTAACATATGCCAAAAGGGTGCAAGTGTTTATGTAAATAAACAGCACTCCCAATTTTGCTAAGCTACCACATTAGCAGTCTTTTTAAAGACTTGAAAACATTTCCCTTATTTACAGTAATTCATCTGCTCCAGATGAAAATTTTAATTTCTAAAACTATTAATTTCTTTTCCCTTTTACCAAGTGAAGAACACATCTCATTAAAATGTTACCACCAAGTCTGGAGATTTTGTACTTCATTTAGAATAACGGGACAGAGAACATTGACCTCAGTCTGGGATATTGCTAACATGAGTAGGATATTTAGTTACCCAAGTTTGGAAGCTAGGTCCTTGCTCTAAATCTTTAGGGTCTGTTTGTAAGGAAAGCACATTGCAATATATACTTTGAATTATTAGCAATTGTTTCTCTAACCTCAACAAGCGTGGCAATAATCACTGACGTTAAAAATGGGGGAGGAAGGGGAAAACAAGAGTAAGTGTATCTCAGCCAGTTTTTCTTAACCCAAGATAAAATCAAAGCTGTCATTTTTCTTATATCACCAAAACCTCTCAGCAAACATTTCAAGCAGCATTATCTACCCATTATGCTTGCAGATTATCAGTTACTGCTAGAAACTGTGTTCTTTGTGCCCTAAGCAAGCAACAGAGCATTAAGGGAAGCCTGACTAAAATACTTCAGGAATTTGTGAAGTCAGCACCTTTTGTAGAAATAGATTGCAGCCTCAGCAACACAAAAAATCAAAATCCCATCCCCTGTGTACACAGCTGTAGCAGTGAGTTGACAGTAACACCCATATTAAACAGCAAATTTACATCTGAAGGTTTATTCTCTCAAAGTTAAAAACTTGCATAGCATATGAACAAAGCCTGTTTTGAATAATTCCTTCAGGCTGTTCTATTTTGAATGCAGTATATAATCTCATCTAGACCTTGACTAAACATAAATAGCATAGCAACTAGCTAGTGATAAAAGCTTAACTCCATACATTGGAAATCAAGTTGAATGATTAAGTTGTCTCCTTATTACTGATTACAGTCTATACATGCCTGAAACTGCAGTTTTAGAGAGCAGCACTAGCACATTGGGTGTTAAATGTCACTGAGGACAGCCACATAATAATGCTTAGGATAACTCATCAGTTAAAACAAAGCTGAAGTATCTAAAAACAAGTTTCCTGAACTCCAGCAGTTATATTGCATGGTAACCTTATTCAAACTTGTTATTGTTTACATTAGAAGATGACAAAGCAAAACAAAACCTCACAGCCACAGGTAGTTTCAGTTTGTTCCATGTACGGGGCGGGGGGGGAAGTATCAAAAACCAATTTTTAGCTAGATCTTCTGTCCCACTAAGCAGGGGGAGGGGAGGGGCAGGCAGCAGCAGGGGCTGTTAAAGAAAATGTGTTTGATTAACTGAGAAGTTTTCATCACATTACTCAGCCATGGTAACACTCACTGAAGAATTTCTACATGCGTATTTGATTTTTACCGTCACTAGAAATACTTAAGTAACCTTAAGGATGGTTAAAAAGGAAGACCAGACCACTACTGATGACAGCTGAAGGAGTGCTGTGCTGCAGAACTAGAGGCTTACATTCCAAAGCTTGCAAAGGCAATTGCTCCGCCTCATTTCCAGGCTATTACACAGCTCACAGTTTCAAGAAATCAGAGCTGTATGCCAACAAAACGTGCTGCAGCCAAGCTATTCAACTTGGAGAGGCTTAATAAAGGTCATGTCATGTATACAAAATGATGGGTAGGACAGTATTTAAGTCAGAGCACAAGATTACGTTCCACATCAGTTCAGACTACATCCTTCTCACTTTCATTTATTCAGGCTTTTTCCAGTTTAGCAAGACTATGATTAAATATCCATAACAAGTTATTAAAAGACATGATTGCAAGCCAGTAAGTCTTGGCTGGCTATTTTGCAGAAAAGACATATACTGTTTATAGCCTCACAGCCCTAGTATATGACTGCTGTTAGTCTTCTCCAAGATGAGTACCCAAGCAAACAGACACCCAGCCACAACATTGTCCAAGGTGCTTATGAGCAATTACTTCATATTTGGCAGTTTGCCAGGCTTCAGACTCCACTGTGCTGCCTACTGCCTTCATCAGGCAAGATAAATTTAGTCTGCAGTGCACTATTATCTTTAATTACCATCTTGTTTAACAAAGATGGACTAGTGAACATCAAAAGTTATCCAGCTCTTCAGAGAACCAATTACTATTCTTAAGTCTCCCAGTAATCCAAGCTACAGTCAGAGCTTCAGTACTGCATAAATAACACCTCCATATCTCAGTTTGGAGTTTTGCATTACAATCTACAGAAGAATGAGAAAACAGAAGTTACAGGAAAGGGATTTGTTAAGTCCATTCATTTGAGGAGAACATCTGACATACCTTAATACTAACTTGGCAGCAGGGTTGCAAGACTGAGTGAGTGCTTCAAGGTTGGAATTAGTGGGCTGCTTGT